CGCTCTCCTGTCTGTGAGTCCATAATGTCCTGTCCAGATGTGCTGTCCCCGAACATATGTCATGATGGCACCATGATTTCCCTATAGTGATGGTAGTAATAATGTGTGTGTTAGTTGCTCAGTCCTGTCTGACTCTTTGTGACCCCATGGGGTGTAGCCCATCAAGTTCATGTGATTTTCTAGGCAAGAATACTGGAGTGGGTTGCCATTTCCTTCTCCAGAGGATCTTCTTGACCCAGGGATCAAACCTGGGTCTCCTGCATTGCAGGCAGACTCTTTACCATCTGAGCTACCAGGGAAGCCTTGGTAATAATAGTAATAGTAATAATAGCAGGCATTTACTGAGTGCTTACTATGTGCCAGGCAGTGTTGAGTGCCTTACATACCTGCATTTATTTAAGTCCACATCAATTCCATGGAGGTGGGAGCTATTATAACTACTATGGATCAAGGGTCATGTTGAATCCTTCCTCCCAGATCCTACATATTTGAGAAGGTGGGGCAGGATTCCAGCCTGTGTCCTCAACGGTGCGCTCCCATCAGGACGGGCTTCTATCTTACTGAGTTCTGAATCCTCAGTCTATCACAGCACCTAGTCGGTGCTCAGTAAGCTTCCAAGAATAAAGGGAAGGAGAAAGGCACTCGATGCCTCCAAATCTACCTCTCTTCCTTATCTAGGCGCCTTAAAGCTCATTCAAATTACGCCCCTGTTCCTAGGGGGTTGTGTCTCAACTACACACATCTTGTAACGACACCCACCAAACTGGAAAAGGGCTGAAGTTTGAGGATCACAGTTACGGCTGGAACCAAAGTACCTGTGAAATGATAGCAATAAGCCATTTACACTCCAGTGGGGGGTTGCTTTGCCATTTACACTCCAGTGGGGGGTTGCTTTATCGGATTTGATAAACCAGTGGGGTAGGTAGGTTGGACTAAGAAGGACTATGAAAGACGTCCAGTGCACTGGGAAGACCCAGAGGGATTGGGTGGAGAGGGAGGTGGGAGGGGGGACCGGGATGGGGAATACATGTAAAAAAAAAAAAAAAAAAAAGATACACTATGATTGTGGAAAAAAAAAATAAATAAATAAAATGTATGATTTACTAAAAAAAAAAAAAAAAGAAGGACGTCCAGGAGACAAAAGCAGGTGGGCGCCAAGGGGGCGGGGCTCAGCGTCTCCTGGGCCCCTGGGGGCTCCGGGGGCGGGGCCTGGGCGGGGCCTAGACAGACGAGCTCAGGCGGCCACGCCCCCCCGCCCAGGACGGCTACATCGACTTCATGGAGTACGTGGCGGCGCTGAGCCTGGTCCTCAAGGGGAAGGTGGAACAGAAGCTGCGCTGGTACTTCAAGCTCTACGACGTGGACGGCAACGGATGCATCGACCGCGACGAGCTGCTCACCATCATCCGGGTAACTCCAGGTGCCGAGGGCCGGGCAGGGGCGGGGCCGAGCTGAGAGCCGGGGCTGGGTCTTCAGCCGTCTGGGGTCTGTACGCGGGCTCGGAAGGGGACGGGATTGAGACTTAGGGTCCCCGCGGCGGTTCGGGCCTTCACCGGCTGCGTGACCTGGGCCAGGTTCCCCTGGGCCTCAGTTTCCTCTTCTGCACCAAGAGCTGTAGATGCGCATCCCCAGCTCCGTCTGAGGCCCCGGGACACCTTGACTTCTACTCCCCTCGCTCCCCGACTGTCCCGTCGGGAGCTTGCCGAGCTCTCTCTGCCCCATCCACCGCTGAGAAGAGTTAGGACCGGTCCTGTCACTTCTTCTTCCCTCCCAGGCCATCCGAGCCATTAACCCCTGCAGCGACTCGACCATGACCGCCGAGGAGTTCACGGATACAGTGTTCTCCAAGATTGACGTCAATGGGGATGGTGAGGCCGCGCTGGGGCTCCCCAGGGGAGGGTCACTGGGGGCGTCACCAGGCTCAGAGGGGGGAGGGCAGGAGGCGAGAGGGAGGCACAAAGGGGCCGCTGCTGGCCACCTCCTCCGCCTGCCTCCGCCCTGGCCACGGAGCTGGCTTTTGGGGATGTCTGCGCCAGACTTTGGTCTCTGGCTCCTTGGCAGTCTCTGTTCACAGCCACTTCCTCCAGCCTTGGTTCTCTCCCCCTTACAAGACTGCAGCTCTGGGCCCGGGTCAGCAGACGTGAACGCCTCCTGCCCATGATGCCCTTTCTTTCTACCCCAGGGGAACTCTCCCTAGAGGAGTTCATGGAGGGCGTCCAGAAGGACCAGATGCTCTTGGACACGCTGACCCGAAGCCTGGACCTTACCCGCATTGTGCGCAGGCTCCAGAATGGAGAGCAGGATGAGGAGGGGGCTAGCGGCAGGGAAACTGAGGCCGCGGAGGCTGACGGCTGAGCTCACTGCCTGCTCTTTCTGTACTGGGGAGGGTGTGTACGGTGGTGCCTGGTGTTTCATTGTTGTTTTAATACTAGATAGAGTCTACTGAAATTAAAGGCCCAGCCCACTTCTTAGGGGTCCATGGTGGTAGCGCGGGGGCAGAAGTCCAGAAAGGGGCTGCGGGGGGGGGGGTGCGTTCTGGAACTCTCTGTGTGACTCAGCTGGTGGTGACTGCTTCTTGCAGCCTTCAGCATCTGTCAGGCTCCTCCCTACCCCCTTCCTGCACCTCCCCCAGCTTTTACCAGCTCTTCCACTGAGCTTCTCTGGTTCCATGCTGTTTTAGACACAGAAGCTCTGAGACAGAGATGGGCATTCCCAGGACTCCAGTGGGACCCTGCAGATCTGGTGGCTGCAGCCTTCATCTGTACTGTCACATGCCCGCCCTGCCCCCAGCATCCCGGAGCCTACTAGAGTGGTCTGTGTTGATTGATTCCTCCCTTCAACAAGCGTTTCTCGAACAGCTACTTATATTAATGCTAGATGTTACACGTGCAAAGAAGAGGGCAGTTTGCATTCTCAAGAAACTCACAGCATCCTTATCAAACAATATGCCAAGAGAACTTATGATACTATAGACAGTCCTCCTTAATCCATCGGGAACCTGTATTTATTCAGAAGTGACTGCACAACACCCTCATTCTTCCCCTGCTGGCCCCTCGGTGCTATGTGGTACCACATGGTACCCCATAGGATTGCGACTCATTGTTAATGGCAAGTGTCCCGACCATCCCTGATCTAGCCTAAATCCCTCTTACCACAGTGAGACCTGGCACCGTTGGGAAGTGGAACAATCTCTTACAGGGGGCCCTCTCTGCATTCTTTGCACACTCCAGCTTTAGGAACACCTGACCAAGACCCTGGGGAGAGACACAGGCTGGACTAGTTGTGATCACTTTTTTCAGAGATGCTCTTTCCTTCTGAACTTTGAGTCTTCACTTCAGCTGGGTATGGGGGAGGTTCTGGGAGCAAATGAAAATCCAAGGGGGTGGGAGGGAGCAAACAAGGGGAAAGTAGGGGTGGAGCCCCAGCCTGTAGGGAGCCCCCTGGGATGGAGGTGGGGGCACTTTGTTCACACCTGTCCTGTCCATCACTCGGACCACTCTAGACTGGAAGTCAGCCGGTGCCGGAGCACAGACATGGAGGGAAAGTGAAGCTCAATGCCAGGGCCAAAAGGGAGTTGACATTTCTGCTGCTTCTCTTGGTGGCTGCCTCTTGGGAAATGCTGGAGGTCAGAGCTGGGAGGGTATCTGGATAGAATTGGACATTTCCCCAACCTCATTCACATACCATCTTCATGATTTGCAGCATATCTGTGTCCCAGCTGCATTACTATTACTTTTTAATTGACTATTTTTTTAACCTTACATTTATTTTTACAGTTAACTTTATATGGATATCATGCCCATGAAATCACAGGATCTACAAATTAGTTTTATTCTTCATACTTCAACACAAAAACATATCTATTCACATGGATTTCTTTTTTGAGTTCCTCAGTACAGCCCCCTGCAACCAGAGTGACTGCCTTTTTTTTTTTTTTTTCTTTATTTTTTGGCTGCACTGCATGGCTTATAGGATCTTAGTTCCTGACCAGGGATTGAATCCAAGCCCTCAGCAGTGAAAGTGCAGAGTCCTAACCCATGGATTGCCAGAGTGACTGCCTTTTAATCTAGTTTCTGTATGGAGGTTGCACATAGAATTGTATAACAAAAAGAATCCCATATCTAAAAAAGTAATAATCTGAAAACTGCTTGTCGAGTCCAGCCTGCTCATGGTGTAGACAAAACACCTAGGTCAGGGAAAAGAAATGCCTGCCATGGGTCACACAGGAGTTGGAGGCAGAGCCTGTCCTAGAACCCAGAGTGGCAGGCCCCAGTTCTCCCCAAAGATAGAAGAAAGGTTCCTCCATCCTTTAAGGAGACATACTTGGCTTGTGGACTTGTGATGGTGAATTGTGGAGGGTCCATTCTAGGGGTCAGGGTTGGAGAGCTGAGTGTGAGGGATGATGGGTAGGGAGGGTTGGAAGGGGCTGGCGGAGCAGTACCAGGGCAGAACTGAAACAGCCCCTTTAAGTACAATCTACCCCCTCCAAGGGCAGGAAGAACAGTCCTCGGGATCCTGGGGGGATGTAATTGTTATCCATCCCTTCTCCCCAGTTCCTACCTTTCCTTCAGAGTCAACAACACCTGCCAGCCCCACCCTTCTACTAGTCAGTTTCACACTATGTAGGCATCCTCATCGCTAACTTCATCTACGGAACCCCTACCCCTAGATCTCCCTGCTTCCAACTAAGAACCAGGTAGGAATCTGTGGGAACCCCACAGTCACCTAGAAAGGCATAGCTTTCCCAGAAGCAGCTGAAGGGGGAGAGGAAGCCAAGTCCCTTCAATACCCAATGAATCCTCCCAATGGAACAGCCCTATTGGCCATTTCAGACTAATGACCCCTGCCCTCCCCACTCAGCTCCACTCCCTGCAAGGGGATGCCAGGAAGTTCAAGCCAGGATAAGAGTGGGCATAAGCAGTTTGAACCAGGGACCCTCCCACTGCTCTGGAAACCTGGTGAGTCTGGAGTCTTGGAGGGCTCCTAGGGCCCCGGAGCCCTCAGAACATGGCACTTTTCCGCCTCTGCTGAGAGATCCAGCTACTGGGGTTCAGATCCATCTGTAGCATCTTCATCACCCACTTGTCACGACGGGCACCTTCAACGAACTCATTCAGGGATAGCTGGCCTGAGCAAGGAATAGGAGAGACAGTCATGCCAGGTCAGGGAATGAAGAAACAGGGTGGGGATGTACACAGATGAGCCTGCGGTCTCAGGGCCTGAGCTTGGGCTTTCCTCCAGGAATCTCCTGGAACCTCCAAGGGTTCCTTCAAGGGACTTTCTTTGCAAATGAATTCAAGTTTTACTTTTACACGTGGGACCCTTGAAATGTTCTTTTGCAAATGAATTCATTCAAGTTTTACTTTTGCACATGGGACCCTTAAAATGTTTTTGAGGGCTCTTCTGGGTGTGTTCCCAGCCAACTGCCTCTTTGCACAGCCTGGGGCTGGGGCACTGAGCTACAGCGATGAGAGTCCAAGTACGTGACCCCATTTACTCCTTTCAGTTATTCTTATTCCCACTTTCCAGGTGAGAAAACTAAGATCAGGCTGAGAGGGTAAATGAAGCACCCTGATCTGCCTGACTCCAAAGCTCCTCTTCTTCCACGGCACTTGCCTGGCAACTCCAGTAGGAGTTTTAATCCCTCTTACAAGCCTCACAGGGCTTCCCCGGTGGCTCAGCGGTAAATAATCCACCTGCAATGCAGGAGACGCAGGAGATGCTGGTTCGACCCCTGGGTCATGAAGATCCCCTGGAGGAGGGCATGGCAAGTCACTCCAGTATTCTTGTCTGGAGAATCCCCATGGACAGAGGAGCCTGGCGGGCTAGTCCATAGGGTTGCAAAGAGTTGGACATGACTGAAGTGACTTAGCATGCACGCACAAGCCTCACATGCTAGTGACAGCCTTGTTATTTTATGTTCTCTTCTCCACACCCATCTCACTGCCCTGAAGTGAAGGGCCTGGTCTAAGGTGATGTGGAGAAAGTGGGATGACCCAGGATGGGGAGCCCCCTGCCCCTGCCCCACCATCGTCTCTGCTCCAGTTACCATCTCCATTTTCATCCACCAGAAGGAAGATCCTGTCCACGACCTCCTCGGGCGTGAGCAGCTTGTCTTGCTGCTCAGCCTCCATCTCCACACCGCAGGCTTTCTTCAGCTTGTAGATGGACTGTGGGAGGGAAGCCAGTGACATCCCAAAGACCCTGCACACTCTGGACCCCCCCACACCCCCCGCCATGACCCACGTCCCTCGGCACATCATCTTCAGCATTGCCCCCAGTCTGTACATCTGAGGATCACGGACCCAGGTCCAGAGTAAAAGTGACCTGTGCTAGGCTGTTTCCTCAGGGTTTCACGGCCTAATTCCCACCGAGGAGTTCCTGGCTTCACCCACTGCCCCATTCCCACACCATTGGTGTTTCCACTGTGAGCATCGGAGCTGACACCCAAAACCTCTAACGAAGGCACAGTGATGGCCTAACCTCTACTTTACAGCAGAAGACATGGAGACTTCAGTAGATTTATGGGTGTGTGTGAAGTGTATGTGTGTGAGATAGGATGATGGGAGACACAGGTGTTTGGGCTGCAGGGATAAAGCACAGGTGTCTCCCTTGCCCTATTTCTGGCAATGAGGCAATGTTCAGAAGTGAAAAGGGGCAGAGACAGACAGACGTGAGGAGAATCCTCAGTCCTTGGCTGGGGCTTTCCTAGGACAGAGGTGTGCACTGGGGGTCCCCACACCTCACTGCCCAGCAAGCACATGGCACAAAGCAGGCACCACTACAGGCAGCCCAGCATCTCCTGGTGGATGAACTTGAGTGAACCACACAACCTCAGTGGGCCAATTTCCTTTTCTGTAAAATGGGCCAACATCTCCCTCCTTAGAGTGAAGTTCTGGAGAGTAAGAGGCTAATGAGGGTTTCATGCAGAGTCTGAGCCAGAGCACTTTTTCCCCTTGCTCATTCTTGCTAATAGTCAATCAGCTTTGTTGATCTTTCCAGAGAACCTACTTTTGCTTTCAATGACTTTCCTTGAGCGTTTGTGTTCTGTTAATTTCCATTCTTTATTAATTCTTTTCTTTTGCTTTCTTTGGGCTTACTTTTCTTTTTTTTAACTTTGTTGAGATGACTTCTTGGATTGTTGATTTTCATTTCAGTCTCTCTTATTTTCTAATATATACATTTTAAGGCTACAGATGTTTCTGCAACCTCAGCTTTAGCTGCATTCCAAAGTTTTGTTATGTTAGTATCATTACTCAGTTCATGATATTTTGTGTGTGTGTGATACTGTTTTTTTCGATTCATGGAGTATTAGGAAGTAGTGTAATTTTCAAACAGATGGGGATTTTCTCATTCTCCTTTTGTAATTGATATCCAGCTTAATTTCTTGGTAGTTGGAAAGCACACTCTGAATGATCCCAATGCCCCTTCCCACCCCCAGGCCCAGGGGCCCCACTTCAGCATCCAGCATGCCCAGGTGCCCGCATCCCTCATCGTGACACTGACCTCCACGATGTCCAGCAGCTCCTGGCGGTCGATGCAGCCATTGCGGTCCTTGTCGTAGATCTTGAAGGTCCACTTGAGCTTGTGCTCCAGGGTGCCCCTCAGCACAAGGTTCAGAGCTGCCACGTACTCCAGGAAGTCAATGGTGTTGTCCTGCATTGGGGGTGGGAGCTATGAGGCCCCCTTCAGCCCCCCACCCCGTCTCTGGGAGCACTGGTGGGAACTCTATTCCAGGCCACCCTCCCTGAAACTCAGGGCTTGGCCTCCCTGGTGCATGCATGTGCCTCTGCATCTGTGCTCATGGTGTTTTCTACCCCGGGATTCATTCTCAGTCTCCATGATCACCCAGTCCCACCTGTCCTTCAAGGCTCAGCTCAATGGTCCCCTCCTCCAGGAAGCCTTCCATCTCACACCACTTCAGCCACAATGACCGCCCTCTCCCTCTTCTGACACTCCCAGCTGTTGTTTTAGTAGCTAAAACAGTCAATCCTAAAGGGAATCAACCCTGAATATTCATTGGAAGGACTGATGCTGAAGCTGAAGTTCCAAGACTTTGGCCACCTAATGTGAAGAGCTGACTCACTGGAAAAGACCCTGATGCCCGAAAGATTGAAGGCAAGAGGAGAAGGGGGTGACAGAGGATAAGATGGTTGGATAGCATCGCTGACTCAATGGACATGAGTTTGAGCAAACTCTGGGAGACAGTGAGGGATAGGGAATCCTGATGGGCTACAGTCCATGGGGTTGCAAAGAGTCGGACATGACTTAGTGACTGAACAACAACAAGATGGACTGTAGCCCACCAGGCTCCTCTGTCCATGGGATTTCCCAGGCAAGAATACTAGAGTAGGTTGCCATTTCCTTCTCCAGGGGATCTTTCCGGCCCAGGGATCCAACCCACGTCTCTACCACTGAGCCACCAGGAAAGCCCAGCACCTACCGCCTCTTCTACCCTTAACTGCTCTGTACGTGTGTCTCACTCTCGAGCAACAGTCTATACTCCAGGAGAAAGGAGAGGGGTTTACATTGCTTCTGTTTCTCCTCCATGCCTAGTACAGTGCAATTTCTGCCGAGAGTCTCATAACTATTTACAAATTTATAAAGAAATGATTGACTTAAGTCTGAATATAAGATTAACATAGTTTTGAAAGGAGATTAGAAAGCAGGACCTCACGTATTTCAAGGTTGGGATCTCAGCTCTCAAATCCCAAATCAAAAATGGGAATCATCAACTTCCCCAGGAGCATCCATCATTCCCATGACTCTGTAATCAGAATGGCATCACTAGCCCAGAGCCCCTCTGTCCCACTGGGTCAGGCTGCATGGGAGCCTCAACCCCTGTTCAAGGGGTGCCTGGGTGGGCAAGGTATAGACAGCAGGAGAATACAGCCCCACATGAGGGAAATAGCAAAAGCTTAAGGGAAAACCAAGAAAATAAAATGAGCCTACCTCAACACCTCCAGAGCTTAAATCAACATCCTTTATATAATTCCTCTGGTCCTCCATACTCCTCATTGTTTAAATATTTACCTAATTGAGGTCAGGCTGTAGCTATAGTTGTAGTTACTGGGTTTTTATTTTAAAATTTCCCATGCCTTCAAAATTATTTAAGATAATACCATTTTCTTTTTTTGAGGAGTACTGGGCAGTCCCTCTTGTTGAACATGGTTTTGATATTTTACATTACACAATGAACATCTTGTGCATACGTATTTCTTATGTTTCTGGTAATTCCTGTAGGGCAGATTCTTAGCGGTTGCTATTTTTTCTGTTTTCCCCCACTAGTCTTTAATGCACTATTTTTGTAGGTATATAAGTTCTATGAATTTTTAAATTGATGTGTAGTTGATGTACCATATAAGTTCTAGGTATACAATATTGTTGTTTAGTCGTTAAGTTGTATCAGACTTGGACTCTTTTTCGACTCCATGGACTCTAGCCCACCAGGTTCCTCTGTCCATGGGATTTTCCAGGGGAAAATATGGGGGAGGGTTGCCATTTCCTTCTCCCAGCGGATCTTCCCAACCCAGGAATGGAACCCGAGTCTCCTGCATTGATAGGCGGATTCTTTACCACCCAGCCACAAGGGAAGCTCCTAGATAGTGATTCACAATTTTTAAAGATTATACTCTATTTGCTGTTCTTATAAAATATTGGCTATATTCCCTGTGTTATACAATATATCCTTGTAGCTTATTTATGTAATAGTTTGTATCTCCTAATCTCCTACACCTGAATTGCCCCTACCTCCTTGTTCTACAAAATTATATCACATGTGTAGACACATGTAGATATGTAGATACCAGTAACTCTCAACACAAAGAACCTCTCTTGTGTTACCTCTCAAAGGTCACATCTTTCTCTCAACCATAACACTTGGCAACCGCTGTTTTGTTCTCCATCAATAATATTTTCACTCTGAAAAGAGTATAAAAATAGAATCATGTAGTGTGTAGTTTTCTTTCACTCAGCACAGTGCCCTGTAGATTCATCTCAGTCACTGTAAGCATCAACAGTTTCTTTTTTTTAAATTGCTGAATGGTTCGCCATTTTATGAATGGTCCCTAGTTTGCTTTCTGTTAGCCCATTGAAGGTTATTTGGCTTGTTTCCTGTGTTTTTTCCCTCAGCTTTATTGAGGTATAATTGCACAATAGCCTTTTAAAGAACACTGTATAAGTTGAAGGCGTACAATGTGGTAATTGGTTGTCCTTTAAAAGACTGTTTTCATTAGTAATTATTATTTGTTAGGCTTTCTAAAATTAGATCTTAGGTTTCTTTTTATTGTGCCCTGGGGCGTATGGGATCAAACCTGCACCCCCTGCATTGGGTGCATGGAGTCTTAACCACTGGATCACCAGGGAAGTCCCTTAGGTTTCTTTTTAAATAAGAATTCAGTTAGGAAATTATGCAAAGTGGGCCATTTGTTTTACATACATCATCTCCCTCAGGTCTGCTATCCCCATTTCATGGATGAGGAAACTGAGACTCAGAGGTTTAATAAGTTGCCCAAGAAATCCCCACCCAGCAAGTGGCAGAGTCTTTCAAGCTACATGCCTTCTCCAGTTCATCAGGTTGGGAAAAATTTCTTACTCCACTCAAGGTCTATTACTGTCTAAAAAATGAACCTGGTGGCTAGCACCAAGGGGAGTAAAACACACAAACCCCAAATCACCAGCAAAATTTTGCTCTTCAGATCTCTAGATTTCCCCTCATTCTCTGTCTAGGACTTTCTGTTCTCACAACATCCTGTCTCAACATGATGCGGTTTCCACCGTGACCCCTCACCTCACATGCGTCTCCGTGTGGAGCAGCCCTTTCCTGACAAGTGGTCTCACGCGTGAGTTTACTGCAAACCCCAGGACCAGTTCTGGGACGCTCCCAGCAGAGGCTCCGCTCATCCAGTGCGCACGCGCTCTCGTCAGCTTCAGTTACCCACGGAGGCTGAAGATGACGGAAACGCCTGTCTACGCAAGAGCTGGAGCAGAAGTGACAAGCGTGTGATCTGCTCTGTGGGATTACCTGCCTCGTTTCTCCCTGAATTGGCTGCATTTGGGAACTGGCCCTGACCTCCCCCCAGCACTCGTTACATAAGGACCTTGAAGGACATTTGACCTTCATCCTTCCTTTTCCTCCATCCAGAGCATTACAGGCAAGCACCAGAGATGGTGTTACTACCTCCACCAGGAGGGAGCATGGCAGCAGAGACGAGGTGCCCCTACCTCCTTGCCACCACAAGACTCTGTTCTCACCACCACAGATCTTGACGTGTGAGCTAAATCTGAGAGCTCTTTTGATTTTATCTGCCCCAGAAATCTCAGATCAGTTGCTCAGAAATGAGACTTGCTGATTGTAAAGGTTGTTCTGAGGTGGGAAGTGGAGTCGGGAAGGAGTTTGGAGACGAAGACTAAGTGGGAAAAGAAAAGGAAGAAGGCTTAGCTTCTGACAGAGGAGCTGAAAACACCTGCTAGGAGAACTCTTCCTTACAGCAGGAGGCCAACTAATAAATAGAGAAGGGACAGTGGAGATAGAAAATGATCAATGGATGCCAAACCTAGGGGCTGATCATTTGATGAGCAATAGGAAGTTTACTTAGTCTCGAAGTATGAATATCTCCCTCTGAGATTCTTATTAATTACAAAGAAGAAATAGTCATTTTACAGTGAAATCCGGCAGACACCACATAGCTAAATGATCGAAGGGACAAACCAACATCATGTGCCCTCTGATGTCACATGCTCAGAAGCACACAGCATCTCTTCTGGGGCATTAATTTCTGCCAGAAGTGTAACCTGTGTCTCATCACAAGGCAACATAGGGTAAACCCAGATCACTGACTTGCAGTCTTCGAAAATGTCAGAGTCAAATAAGATAAAGAAAAGCTGAGACTAAAGGATCCAAAGGGCATCAGGTCCGGGGGCAGAGGGACGGGATGGACAAATTGGGAGATTAGGATTGACATATATACAATACCACGTGTAAAAGAGATAGCTAGTGGGAACCGCTGTAAAGCATAGGAGGCTCAGCTTGGTGCTCTGTAATGACCTAGCGGGGTGGGATGGGGGTGGAGTGCAAGGGAGTTTCAAGAGGGAGGGGATATACATATAAATATGGCTGATTCACTTCATTGTACAGCAGAAACGAACATAACATGGTAAAGCAATTATACTCCAATTTTTTTAAAAAGGCTAAGGGGGAGATAGGACATTAAATGCAATGTGTGATCAAACTTTAAAAAAAAAAGGTTGTAATAGGTGTCATCAGGACAGTAAACCAAACATGAATATGGATTGTCAATTAGATAACAGAACTTATTAATGTTGAATTTCCTGAGTTTGATCATTTATTAGGTTAAGAGAATGCCCTTGGTTTTAGAAAATACATATTAGAATACTTGGGGTAAAAGGGTGTGATGTCTATATAATTTTCTCTAAAAATATATATATTTATATATATAATATACACATATATTGTGTACATGTATGTATACATGTATATATATAATACATCACACAGAATAGTAAAGCAAATGAGTCAAATGTAAACAATTGGGGAATTTTGATAAATTGTAAATGGGAATTACTTGCACTACCCTTATAATTTTCCTGTAAAGTTAAATTGATAAATTCATGGGTGTGAACCTTGCCACATACTACCTGATACATTTGTTTACTTTTCTTCTGACGTTCAACACTTCAAAAAATCATTTCCTCTCTTAAACAGCGCAACAGACTGCCTTCTAGGCAGGAACGCTTGCCTGGGATGCAGGACCCCTGAGTTTAAGATCCTGGGCAAATCAATTCACTGAATTTGGAGTAACAACCTCGGCCTGCTCCCTTCCAGGTCTGCTGCTGACTCAGAGACGTCTGTGTAAGGAGCTTTGGGAAGGCTGAAACTCAGTTGAGATCTGGAGAGTGTTCACCTCCGAGGTTTTTGTTGCCGCGATGATGCTGACCCCGCCCTACCGCCCCCTACAGGCGCAGAGGAGATGTGCACTGATAGTACCAGAGGCAGAAAGAAAAAAAGCGTTAGTCGCTCAGTCGTGTCTGACTCTGCGATCCCGGGGACTGCAGCCCGCCAGGCTCCTCTGTCCATGGAGTTCTCCAGGCAAGAACACTGGAGTGGGTAGCCATTCCCTTCTCCTGGGGCATGGTGGGACCTAAGAAGCGTTCCCAGTGACTCACTCTGAAAAGTGAAGCTCTCCTCCTACACAGAAGTGGGGTATCCACTGCTTTTTCCAGATTAATTATCTAGGTCCAACCCACTGGCCCCTCAATTTGAGGGAGTGAAACAGGGGTTTAAGGCAAACTTAATGGTTTAAAGGACTGTGGGGGCACTGGACTGGGTGGCCTTAAATAATGACGGGGTTTCAATGTTTAAGGGCTTTCCTGGTGGCTTACATAGTAAAGAATCTGCCTGTAAAGCAGGAGACCTGGGCTGGATCCCTGGGTCGGGAAGATCCGCTGGAAAAGGGAATGGTAACCCACTCCAGTATTCTTGCCTCGAGAATTCCATGGACAGAAGAGCCTAGTGGGCTACAGTCCATGGGGCCACAAAGAGTTGGACACGACTGAGCAACTTTCACTTTTACTTTTTTCTATGTTTAAATTCAATTCCCAGGTGTACATTTATAAAATATATTATCTTCTTAGCTCCTGGTGCCAACCATGGACTTGCAGAAACTCTGTGGATGGATGATTTCATGGAATCTTCCATGGCTTGAAGAGCAGAAAGAGACTTTTGCAATAATCCTCCATCCTCAAAGTCCAGGAAGGAGCCTTCTCCAGCGTTCTGGGTGGGAACAGCTGATCTGTCTCAATTAGAAGGACCCTCAGCAAGGGGGAACTCATGGGCTGTGCCAAGATAGCTCCGCCCATTAAACCCCTTATCTTTAGAGCAAGGGGAGCCCTGATGGATGTGAAAAACCACATCCTGTCCATAAATACACAGAGAGGACCCTGGGTCTTTCTGCAGAGCCTCGCTTCAGCTCTCAGGAAGAGGAAAAGTCAGATGAAAGTGGAGAAATGGAAAGAAAAGATGGGAAGGAAGAATGATGGGAGAGGGAGAAGAGTTTGGAGGAAGAGTGAGGCAGAAAAGGTGAGAGAGGATGGAGAGGAAAGAAGAGCTGAGGCCGAGCAGGAGGACTGGCAAACGGAGCTCCCACCGAGGGTGCTCCTTTAGTCAAGGATGAGCCCTGATCATCCTCAAGGATGAGTCAAGGATCCTCCCCCTCGGGGCACCTTACCCCATTCTTGTCGAAGGCTCGGAACATGCCCTCCACATATTGGGTGGCCTCCTCGTTGTCCGTGACCTTGAAGAAGCGCTTAAACTCGTGCAGGAAGAGCGTGCCACTGGGACACTCCTCCAGAAACTTCTTGTACCACTCCTGCAGCTCCGCCACGTCCACCGCGCCATTCTCCTCTGCCTCCTCCCAGCTGAACTGCTGCCCCATCCTGGCCCCAAGACGGCAGGGAGCAGGGTCTCTGCCTCCTGCTGAGACGCGGCTGATCGATTCCTTTGGCGAGGGCCCTCTTCCTACCTCTCCTCTGCTCTGCCAGCCTCTTCATCATCTCCTGGCCAACCGAATGGGACGGGCAGTGGGAGGTGCTGGCAGCGAGGGGGCGGGACCAGGCCAGCTAAGTGCCTTAAGATTAGAAGATTCCCCTGGAAGGTCTGACCTCCAGTCAGCTAAGCTCCCCCAGCCTCACCCCTCCCTTCAGTCTGGTCAACCACTCAAGTAAGCTGCCCAGTAGATTCTGAAAAGGGAGAAGGGGCGGAAACAGAGGTAGGCAGACGGAGTGGGAATTGGGAAGGCAGGCTGAGACCCTCCCATCGTACACATGGGCCCTGTCACTTTTGGTAGGGCACCATGCAGTTCCAGGGAGGCCCACCTTGGAGACACAGGAGACTCTGATATCCAGGGAAGATGCACGTACACCTCCTAGCTCATAAAACAGAACGGCTGGTGAGCTGGGGCTGGCCCTCCACTTGGTCTAGTGAGAAGCAGCAGGATCTACAATGTGAAGGGCTCTGGGTGAGCAGCTCTGTCCCCCCCCCCCCCCCCCCCCGCCCCACCACCCCGTTGTCGGTCCCCAGCACCAGGGGTCCTCAACCTCTGGGATCTAATGCCCAATGATCTGAGGTGGAGCTGATGCAATAATAATAGAAATAAAGTGCACAATAAATGTAATGCACTTGAATCATCCCCAAACCATCCCCTATTCCCAGTCTGTGGAAGAATTGCCTCCTATGAAAACAGTCCCTGGTGCCAAGCAGGCTGGGGTCCGCTGTCCAGCACGATACCTGAAGCTCCTTTACAGGCCAGACCCTTGAGTCTTCACCCATGACCCAGGGGAAGCTTGGAGTCTTAACCACCCGACTACAGGGGAAGTCCCTTCTCTCGCCCAGAGATGACTGCTCCACCACCCTTCCAACCCTTGAAACTTCCTCTGGCTTGCACATTCAGCTGATGACCTTGTCACATCCTTCACTTCACGGAGAAAATGCATCAGACACACACCTGGCCTCTCTTCCTGGTTCAATGGACACAGTCCCTTTCCCACTTCTCCACCTGTCAGCTCCTCCACTTGTTTCTAGCTGTCACCTCCCTTTGCCCAACCCAGTACTCCAAGTCCACAGCCATCCCTTTCTCTTCTGCACCCTCCACGTGTCCTGCACTAACAGATCATTCCCATCTGCAGACGTGCCTCAACATTACCCCTACTAAAACAAAATAAGACAAAAATTCCTCCTTGACCCCATAGTCGGAGGCCACCTGTGACTTTTTGGGGCCTACTGTTGCCTTCATGGGTTATAAGATAAAGATTGATAATTAAATAGTAAATAATGATATATTAAAAGTGCTATTTTGGGACTTCCCCAGTGGTCCAGTGGTTGGGAGTCCGCCTGCCAATGCAGAGGAAGCGGGTTTGATCCCTGGTCCAGGAACTAATATCCCACATGTCACGGAGCAACTAAGCTTATGCACACAACTCCTGAGACCACACTTCCTGCAGCCTGTGCCCTTCAACAAGAGAAGCCACCACAAATGGAGAGCAGGCCCTGCTCGCCGCAACTAGAAAATGCCTGCGTGGAGCAACGAAGACCCAGCACAGCCATAAAGAGAAATTTAAAACATGAAAGTGCTATTTTATCATTCATTGGTAAAAAGAGGAATATAATCCAGTTCCAGTCCAGACTGCATTATATTATTTTTGAAAGAAATTAAAACATTTAAATTAAAAATATTGTGAGCCCTAGACACGGTGCCCACTGGATCCAATAGTACTGCCAGTTACTGCTCCCCTCCGGCCCCTGTCCTCACCTTGGCCCCCTCTTACAACAAAACCCCTGATGGAAGATGTTATTTTCTGAAATTGGCACTGCAGTGGGTCTGGTCTCACGTGTTCTTTGCATCCTGGGGAAGAGCCAATTTCTCTCTCTTCAACCTGGATGGGACTTTGCAGTACTCAACGAAGAGAATGGGCTATGTGGTGCCTAAGGCTGGGTCATCAAAGGCAGTAGGGTTCATGCCTGGCTCTCCCCCAGGACTTGCCCTTGGAATGCAGCCATCATGTTGTGGGGAGGCCCAGGGCTTCCGGGTGACAGCCAGCATCAGCCACCAGACTTGTGGGCGAAGGGGGCCAGTGAACCTGATGATGCCTCCAGTCCTGGCCTTCCAGCCGCCCCAGCTAATACCACACAGGGCAGACCGTGTCCCCACAGAGCACTGACCGAACTGTCATGGAGCTGTGATGTGTTGGGCATTTTTGAAGGTAGCAACAGATAACTGAACCTGTTTCACATCCCCTTCTTTTATAATTTTGGCTGCACTGGTCTTAGTTGCAGCCCATGGACTCTTTAGCTGCAGCATGTGAAATCTAGTTCCCTGACCAGGGATTGAAACTGGGCACTGGGATCTCAGAGACTTAGCCACTGGACCACCAGGGAAGTCCCTCCTCTTCATTTCTTATTCTCTCCTCAACTTACTCCAACTGGATGCTCATCCCCGTCACTCCATAGAGAAAGTTTTATTATGACCAACTTTTCTTGCAGATTCAGCACCGCCTCCCAAGTTCTTTCTTCAGACACTTTAGGGTTCAAGGACTCACGTGGAGCCTGGCTCCACTCCAGCCTCACTGATTGCTCATCTCCTTTGCCAGCACCTCCTCCTTTTAAACAAATCTCTCTGCTTGGGCTTCCCAGGCTTGTCCTCAGGACTGTGATCCTCTCTACTCATATGTGCTCCCCAGATGAGCTCATTCACCCTCAACATTACACACCATTTGTAGCTTCCAGATTCAGGACCCCAGCTACCTACCAAACATTTCCACTCAGATTGCAGACTTACCAAGGCCAAAGCCAACATACTGATAGCCTTCCTAAATCCCTGCTCTACCCTTCTCCACCTCAGTCATGGAATCACCATTTATCCAGTTGCTTAGGCTAAAATCAAGGAGTCATCCTGGAGTCCTCTCTTTCTCTTAGATCTCCTTTCAGCCTACTAGGAGGTCTTTCTGTTAGCTCCACCTCCAAACTTATTCTTAATAAAACAGTTTCCCATCCCCTCCATCCCTGCTGCTCTGTCCAGGCTACGTCCTCTCACTGGTCCACTGCAGCAGGTTCTGCCCCACCCTTCCCATCACCCCTTCCTTTCAGTCCATACCAAGCAGCCAGAGGAGTGTATTCTAAAGGGTAAATCAGATCCTATCACTGTCTTGCTTCAAACTCTCCCACGGCTTCCCACTGACACTCAGGATAAAAGCCACACTCCTTCCCATGGCCATGATCTAGTCCCACCCACTTCATGTTGCTCTGCCCTTGTCCTCAGACGCGTCACACTCTCTGGCCCTTAGCATTGACTGGTCCTGCTGCTTAGACTGCCCTTCCGCAGACTCTCATTCAGCTGCCTCCTTCCTGATGGTCTCCTCTCCTCAGGGAGAACTTTCCCAATCTCATCTCAAGTAGCAGTGAAAGTATCAGTCGCTCAGTCGTGTCTGCCTCTCCGCGACCCTATGGACTGTAGCCTACCAGGTTCCTCCGTCCATGGAATTCACCAGGCAAGAATTCTGGAGTGAGGGATCTTCCCAACCCAGGGATGGAACCCAGGTCTCCTGCATTGCAGGCAGATTCTTTACCATCTGAGCCACTATTAGTGGCTTTCATCCCAGTAACCACTCAAGTAATTTTGTCATTATCCTACTTTAGTTGCTGCCTAGTGCTTAACTGCATATCTATGAAATGATCTTATTATTTTTTTCCCCATATCGTGTCTTCTCCACTAGAGTCTTAAGATCCCAGAGAAGAGGGGCTTCACCATACACAGTGCAGAATTTCCAAAGCCTAGAACAGTGCTTGGCATGAACAAAGAATTCTTGGCACAAACAAGACTTGTTGAGTAACGGAGCAAAGCGCTTGGCACATGGTCAGAGTTGAATTCATGTGAGATATTACTTCATACTTTTACATGACAACTGCCCTTGATTCCTTGGAGTGTCTGGGTTAGCAGATATATGTTGATGTGAAGAGACAAGGTGATTTTGGCACTGGGAGAGGCCTCCAGTTATTTTCAACCCTGTCCCCATCTCAGAACACCTGAAGACAACATATGCTGTCACTATGGCTGTGTGAAGATGGTGTCACCCCTATCTACCTCTTCACATTTGTCGGTATTTTGCCTGAGCAATTTCACTTTCACTTTTCACTTTCATGCATTGGAGAAGGAAATGGCAACCCACTCCAGTGTTCTTGCCTGGGGAATCCCCGGGACGGGGGAGCCTGGTGGGCTGCCGTCTATGGGGTCGCACAGAGTCGGACACGACTGAAGTGACTTAGCAGCAGCAGCAGCAGCAGCAGCAGCAGGCAATGTTGAGGAATAAAGGATGATACCTGTGTTTAAGAGACCATATGAATGAAATAGAACTTCATTTAGCTTCTGGCTGAGGAATCTAAAATTCAATAGGCTTTTCATGTGGGTCAGTTGCCCATGACCTGCCCTTAACTACCACTGAGCTGTTGGGATATAAATATATCGTTTTAAAGAGGCTTAGGACTCCACAGACAATGATAGCTCGCAGTGAGTAACAACAGTAAGGCTTTAAGGAGGGCAGGGTTAGGAACTGAGCAGGGATTTGGAAAGGGAACTTTGGGGATCCCAGGCACTTAGCCCTAAGCCTGGCTCCAGGGGTATGGAAATGCATGTGAGCAACAAACCAGTCTACAGAGCCCGGGACAGCCCTGGCCTGCAGCCCCACAGCTGCACCAGGCTTCCTGTGACCCAGGAGGCTCCCCCGACTGGCGCTTGCACTCTCCTGTGGCCACTGTAGACAGTCAGGACCAATGTCAGCCTTGAGACCACAGGGATCCAGCTGTGCGTTATGCTTCTGGCCTTTATTCATACACATTTACATCTTTTATTCCTTATTCCCCCCCATCTCTTTATTTCTAACACTT